GTAGATTCACCTGATGATGCTGAACCTGGACTCTGAGCCTCTGACAGCGGCTCAGAGAGGATTTAACGGTGAAGCTGTGTTTGTGCTTCAGAACAGCCTTCCAGTGGACCAGATCTTGGCTCTGTACGGATGCAAACCAGCCGCCTCGTATCCCAGCCAGCGGTCCAAGGTACTGACAGGCAGCAGCTGATCTTCTGGTCATAATTCAGCAAAACACCAGAAAACAGACACTGTGTGGTGATGACAGGAATCCTCCAGAACCAAAGGGCAGTAATGAAGCTTCATGTCTGCGTTTTGGCTTTAACGTAATTATTGAAGGATATTAACATGTTAAAGAATTACCATGAAAAATAAAAATATGAAAATGCTTTAATGTTAAATGAAGAATATTTAAAAGCAGTAAAAGTTGTTTTATTATTAGCAATAATAATAATTATTACTAATATTAACTTTTCCAGTTTTACTGTGAAAACTTCAGAAATCTCTCGTTTAACAAACAGATCTGTGAAATCCCAGAACCTTTTCTTCTTTTTCTGCTCATCGTCACAAATTATATCTGATTTCATAAATACATTTAAACTTAAATAGTTTCATCCATTAGATTAAAAGCAAATATTTGTGAAATTCCAATAAATTTCTATTAATCTTGTTCTGTTGAGGACATTTAAATGATCATGTTTTTAATGTTATTTGATATTAAACATTTTTTTTGTTGTTTTTACTGATTTATCAAGTTTCAAAAAGTCTAAAAGGTTTTTTAAACTCTACAATGAGAACGTCTTTTTACAGACTTTCTTTTGGTTTAGTTTGTTTTTTAATCTCAGCAAAATGACAATAAAGCTTTAAATCTGATTAAATTATATTTTCATGTATTTAAAAGGAATAGAAAGAAATCTGTCAGTTAAACGGGAGCAGTCGAGGTTTTATCAGTTTAATGTTTGTGTGGAAGCAGCTTGTGTGACTTTATTCAAGGCCGCCGGCGCCGCCTGCTGGCCGAGCAGCGGCGCTGCAGGAAGTGGTACCTGAGCAGGTGTCGGTTCTGGTGATCAGGTTCTTGCTTTATGCGGTGAACCTGAACTGTTTACTGAGATGTTTCTGTGAAGTCGGGTTATAAGACGAACCAGAACCGGGCTCAGGTTCCTGTTGTTGGTTCTGCCAGGGCTCCATCGTGGTTCCCTTCACGCTGTCCTACCATCCCTTCGCCATGCTGGGCTCCTACAAGGCCGTCCATCACTGCAGGAAGCACAGTGAGTCCGGTTCTGCTCCGATGTGGACCGCCCACCGGGCCTCCAGTGTTCTGATTATCCTTTAATGGGTTTAATTAAAGTCTACATGTTCAGATAAAACACAGGANCCTGAAGTGTGTCTCATCGGTGGTTTTGTGAAGTCAGTGGTGGTCAGTCTTGACATGAAGATGCAGTATTTATCCTCCTCCACCTTCCACCACAGCGGAGCCACGTGCAGCTCAGGAAGCAGCCAGTACCCGAACCGGTCCGAGCGGGAGGCCATGATCCTGTCGTCCTTCGCCGGGATGATCATGGTGAGAGACTTTACACAAACACAACTTCTGTTAAATCTGTTCGTCCCACTGAGGCTGAATATTTTAATGTAGCATCACTGCGTCCGAATATCAGAGCTGCAACTAGTTACTTTCACTGGCATGGCTTTATGCGTCTCGTTACACTGCCCCCTACAGGTCTGGCAGCTCATAGCAGCTATTAACCACGTGTTTATGTGGGTTTGTGTGAACAAACTTTTTCTTTTTTAAACGATCTGGTGTGAAAAATTTTATTTTAGATCTGTTTTTGTGTAAACGTGGCCTCAGTCCTGAACTCAACATGAAGAAAAGTTCTCATCAAACTTCTGTCGGTTTCCTCGACTAGAATTAAGTTTAAGAATCAGCTAACGCAGAGTTTAAACGACAGAATATTAAGTTGATGCAGCAACATCACGTCAACCACTAAAGTCATGTTT